ATCGAACCAGCGACTTTCCTCATGGAAGTCGGTTGCTCTAACAAGGAGGCTAAAGACCATGGCCCTTAGCATCTGTATCTAGAGCACCTTAAAAGGTCAGAGGAGTGAGGTTTACCTGCACAGCACTACACTAGCTGGCCTCCAATAGTCTGTGTGGTACGCTTCTTTGGGGTTTCTCCACACCGTAACTCTCCTGAATGAGGGAAAGGCAGTGAAGATGCACTCATTAGAGAACAATACATGTCTCACATTGTCCACAGCCCAAGATTTATGCTGCTGGCACCATTGAAACTAATGTTTTGCATGCTGTGGTTTTAGGTTTTTTAGATACAATCTGAGTTAACACCCGGACATCCAACACTTAGGGTGCTTTCACACCTGTGAATTGATTCAGTTGTTCCGAAACAGAGATTACAATTGTTACATTGTTGCTCTTTGCTCTTGGAGCGGTTCGCTTTCACACTGCAAAGTTTCTAATCGGACCAAAAGAGCTAAAACAAGTCACGTGCGAGTTATCTCTCCTTACATTGGTCAGAGTGTCAGGGTTTATTTTGCAGCGTCCCGCTCAGCTGTCAGGAGAGGTGGTGGTTTGGTGGTGATTGACAGGGTGCGCGCGACGTGTCTGAGGAGAGACGCGGTGGGGAGGGGTGAGAAGGGTGCACGACGATGCCTATTTGAGGACCGGGAGGGAGACGCAAGATTAACGGTAGATCATCACTTGTTTGCCGGCATCCGGAGACTCGCAAAACTTCCCGCCCTACTCATAATTCTCTCTTCATATAGCCGTATGCCTATTACATATCCATAAAACACTGTGATATAACCGCGCTCGGATCGGATCGCTTTCTCACTGCAATCGATCCGCTCCAGGGTTCGTTTCAATCGAGCCGAGACCACCTTATTCAAGCGATCTCGGAGCGATTACTTTGGCGCGGAACAGAGCGCGATTGCCCTGTTCACATATGCCAAACGAACCGCGCTAAATGGGCAAACGAGATACGTTCCGAAACAAAAGTGTAGGTGTGAAAGCACCCTTAGTCATTTTGGATGTGGTTCGTATGTTACCCCCTACCACAACCTTACTCTTAAACCCAACCATCCAATGTTTTACATTTTTAAATTACTTTAATATGTGTGATTTATGACCTATTTTCCTCCTGGGAACCCAAAATGCCCCCACAGGCTTGTTAATGGTATTACTATATTTATAGGGACATTTGGTCCCCAGAACGTAATAAATACAAGGTATACACACAATAACACTATGCACGCACACACATACACAAATATCTCTTTCATTCTGGCTGGAGTTATATAAAAGACCCGTCATGTAATGCTTGACTTCACTCAGGTCTTTTTTTGAATAAAGATAGACAGACGTCACCTGGCTTTTAGGAGGCAACTCACTTGAAGAGTTCCAGGCACAAGCATAATGGCTACAAATGACTGCCTGGAAACCTTTCTGTATTTCAAAAACATGCTTTATTCAGTTTGCTTTAGTGGTAGATACTCCCAGAAGTCACTTCTGTCCTTCAGGCTGCATTGTAACAGTCACTTGTTTTAAGAACATACAACTTTAGTCATTCTATTGCAGGCCCTCGTGCTTAAATTCAGAGTTTCCTGCTGCTTCAGCGCCTCTAAATTTACTTATATCTGCTAAATGAAAACTATTTCTACTGCATTTTTTTTTGTGTGTTTTGTATTTTAAATCAAATAATAAATAAATAATATGATACTATTTGTGATGTGAGGACACTGGACAACGAGAGGATCCGAATGCATGTTTATTTTGAGAATGGTCAGGCAAGGTCAAAACAGGGGTCAACAGATGCTTGCAGGGAATCCAGAGTTGTGGTCAATAAACAAGCGAATGGTCAGTACAGGCAGCAAGCAACGTAAACAAACAGAACAAAGCAAGGGTCAAACATGGCAAGGCAAAGGAAACACCTTAATCTTCCAACACAATCTCACGGCAAATCGTAACTTTTTCATTTAGTGGCTAATTCGTACAAATTCAAACGATCTAATTTGTACATTTTAGTACAATTTGCTCATCCCCCAATGACGGTTGGGTTTAGGGGTGAGGTTAGGTGCCACGCCTCCTTTTTAAAATCATACAATTGCTTACGACTGAACTCGTACAAATTAGCCACTAAACTGCCAAAATGTAAAATACTTACGTTTTCTCGTGAGATCAGGCT